ATTATTCTATTTTGATTTAGGATGCAAATGGAGGCGTTAATTGCAAAACGGAACTAATTAAGTGAATTCGGACAATTTCGACGTTGTTTCGTAATATGGGCATAACTCTCTCATCCAAGCTCTGATTGAGATTATTCAAAATGCTGTGTAACGCTAAGAAATATATCTACAACTTTCATGTTTTGAGTTTGGAGATATACTCACTGAATAAAGGTTGTAATCGAGCTTGAAGTTGACGCATCTGCACTAGATGTCCTGGAGCATTCTGCCTTGTCATCAATTGGGCAGTTTATTATTGGAAGATTTGAGGACATGTGGCACGCAAGTTACAGCTCAGAATCACCACTTTCCTATTTTATTTTAGGACTCTATCTTATTTTAAATTAATTAGAATTAAATTAGGATTAATGTTATTTTAGGATAGGAGAATATTTCTTTTAGGAGATTGAGTGGGATTCGAATTCTAAAACGGGATTTTTGCAAAGGGATCAGATTAGGGTTTTTGAGGGGGACCACGTCTCTTTCTTCTCTGCTCTGGAATTTTTCTTTCTCTTGAGTTTTTGTTATGGCCATGAGCGGCTAGAACTTTTGTAACTTGGTCGAAGGAAACGAAGGCCTCGGAATCATTAAACTGTGAGATCTAATATATTTTTCTTAGTGTTCAATTTTCATGTTTGAGTATTGGATGTTTTTCTATGCCTAATTTTATGATTGTTTCGTTTAATTACTAGGGAGGCCTACTAGTTTATTAATTGTTGCAATCTACTGCTAAGTTAGATATCAAATCCGTAATTGTTTGATCCCTCTAACTTGTGAAGCAATTAGGGTTAATAATTCGCTGCGTCAGGAATTAGTAATCTTAAGAAGAACATTCAACTAAATTAAATACAACCGCTTGTGTTTGTGTTGTTTAGCTTCATCGATTTCTCTAATTCTTAAGGCTGCCACTAGATTAAATCTTGAGCGCTTGTCTAGGGTTGTTTAGTGGTAAGATTAATTAAGATCGCTTGTTTCTTGATTAATTACAATTAAGGAGAGATAGGAAAATAGTTCCAACGGTGAATATTCAGGTATGGATTGATTTAATTTTGCATCAATGATCAGTTGTAAGATTCCGATGGCGGATGTTGTCTGAGACCAAGTTTTGTTATATTAATTGATTTCAATTTAAATTGTTTTTGTTTTGATTTTTGCTAAGACTGTTTTCTGTTTCACTCAAACCCCCCCAGCCTTGTTCACATCATCGAAAATTCGGCTAGACACACTTCGTGGGATCGACCCTTGCTTACCCTATTTACAGTTTAGTAGTTAGGTTAGAAAGGTTATTAATCTTGGTTGCCTGCGACAGCACACCATTAAGTAATAAAAGATTCCGGTAATCTTTCAAAACCAATAACAATTACTGTTGGTTATATAGGTGGCAATATAAATGCCACAATTTTCTTTGGTATTCTAAGATTATTTGGTAATCTTAATTTTGTTACAATTTTACCCCAAACTATTGAAATTTTTGGATAGTAATGCCCTTGTTCTTAACAAAATTTACAAAAATATTCATGGACTATTTTATCCTTATACATAATATTTTTAGGACATTATTACCTTTGAACTTGAACCAAATTACCCTAGATAGATGGCCGGATCTGGCCACTACCATCGCCCGCCATTACCTATTGATGTCACAGGAATAGCACACAACCAGCTAGATTTGGTTGGTTGTGCGCCGTCTAGCTGTTTCCGACTAGATTAATGGTCGAAAATGGCTAGATGGTCGTGGATTTAGCCGTTTTCGACTAGATTTCGACCGCTGCCAGCGGTGTTACTGGTGACCGACAGTGGCTTGGATGGGTGGGGGTGTTTGTGTTAAAATTTAAAATTCTATTGTGGTTGGGGTGTTTTAGCAAAATCTCAAATGTAGGGGGTTAAAAAATCAAATAATAATAATAATAATATTAAACAAGAAGGGTAATTCAGCAATCTATATAACATACCCACCAATTTACTCCAATCTAACCAAACACATTTAATATAACATTCCCATTAATCTTCAAGGTAATCTACTTCCCATTAATATAATATTCTATGAACCAAAGGCACCCATAAAATTACTTGAATGCCTCTACTACACCGAGGGGTGTTTGGATCATATAATGCTTTATTATAGGGGGATGTTATATTAACAGAAAGATATATCATCTTGAAGATTATTAGGAATGTTTAGAAAATGTGTTTAGCTGGTTCAAATAAAATGGTGAATAATATGTTTGATTGGGAGGATAAATGAGTGGGTATGTTCTATAAATTACTAACTTGTCCTCCTTTTAAAATATTAATATAATATTATTTTTTGAATCATTTCTTTTAACCTCCTACATTTGAAATTTTGTTAAAACACCCCAATCATATAAAACTTTAATTTGTAGCAAAATCACCTGCACCCACCCAAGCCATTGCTGGTAGCCAGCCACCACCTCCGGCATTCGACGGAATGGCACATACTGACCGTATGTGGTCGACTGTGGGCTGGCAAAGCCATTTTTAGCCATGGATCACAAATCCATGGCCGTTTCATGGCCAGATCTATGCCCATTTCACGGCTAAAGATGTGGCTGTGAAACGACCACAGATCTGACTATTTTCATAGCCAGATCTGTGGCTAGTTTCACGGCCACATCTTTGGTTGTGAAACGACCAAATCTAGTCATTTTTGGCCATGGATCTGGAAAAGGCCTTATCGGCACACGATTGACTAGATTCCACTGGTTGTGCACCATTATGGCTACTGATGCTGGTGAACGGCGGTGCTGAGCAACTGCCGACGATGGTCTTGGGTGGCTAGGGGTATTTTGTTAACTTTTAAACTTTTTTGTGGCTGGGGTGTTTTAGCTAATTTCTCAAATGTAAGGGGGCTGGATAATTGTTGTTTGGTAAACATTTGAGGGCAATTGTGTCTAAAATGGTATTTAATTAAGAGCAAAATAGGTATAAAAATTAGATTACCTAGTAATGTTTTAATCCTAGGGGTGGGAGAGGGTATCATATTATCTTTTATATTACCAACAGTAAATACTATGAACCCGTTTGGATGGGGATAATATTAGATAATTGGGTTAATATTTTTTAAATTGAGCAGATGAAGATGTTTGATTGATTTTAAAAAATTATTTATGGAATCTTTTATGACAAACAATGGCATTTGGGGGGGAGGACCTTGCGAATGTACAATTTTTGTGTCTTATATTAAACAGTTGAGCATTTGATCCAAATTAGCCCTATATTTGTTAAGATTTACAAAAAACCCAATTCACTCATGCATACCTTTTTTTCCTCACTTCTTAAATTTTCTGGATGACATTGCCCCTGTTATTGTCATTATTTACAGAAATACCATTGTACCTAGAACTAGCCACCACCGCCAGCCACCTTCAACCGCCGCCGAAGGTTGCCAAAAGTCACCAGTATGGCGTACAGTCAACCGTATATGGCTGGTCGTGCGCCAGTGAGGCATTTTCTGACCATGGATCACAGATCCATGGTCGAAAACGGCCAACGTTTCATGACCACATCTTTGGCTGAAAATGGCTAGATTTATGGCATTGCCGCTGTCATGGCCAGATCTGTGACATTGTTGGCGGTCGCTGACGGTGGTGGCTGGTTGCCGGCAGTGGCTTGGGGTGGGTAGGTGTGTTATTGTTAAGTTTAAAATGTTTTTGGTTGCTATGGTGTTTTTACGAAATCTGAAAAGTAAGGGGTTAAAAGAAATTATTCAAAAAAAATAATAAAAAACTATTATATTAATATTTAAAAAGGAGGGCAATTTAGTAATATATATAACATACTAATCCATTTATCCTCTCAACCAAACATATTATTCACCAATTTATTCGAACCAACCAAACACATTTTCTAAACATTCTTAATAATTTTCAAGGCAATCTTTTATTCTGTTAATATAATATCCCCCTACAATAAAACATTATATGATCCACATGCCCCCTATTTGCAATAAAAGATTCTCATAATATTTTATTACTTACAAACCAAACACCGAAATCTAGCAAAATAAACGAATATTATCCCCATTATCTTATATGCCCCCAATCCAAACACACCCTTAAAGTCTAGCAATAAGTGATCCTTAAATGTCACTTAAATGAAAATTTTGAAGCTTCCATTCCTTCTTTAAGTTTTCCGAAATAAAATTATCTTAACAAATTACAAACGAGACCCCTAATAATATACTAAAACTTGAGCGAAGCCAACAATATTTCTAAAATTTTAGGGTGTATTTAAAGAAGACAAACTGTAAGGGAGTTAAGAAAATTAGTCATTAAATATTAGCGATTTAGCATAACAGCACAGCGGTCTAGTCCGCCAACAGATAATTCTGAAATGAAAGAAAAAAGATTCTAATAGTTTTTTTCCACTATTTTTTTTTTTTTTTTTGAGGTTTTTAATTAGACTAGTTTTGAAATGTTTTTAAATTATTAGTTGTTAAATTTTTTATGTACTAGTTTTAACTGAATCAAAAATCCCACAGAACTAGTGTAGTGTATATTTTAGGAGTTTATAAAACACCCCAAATCAGGGTGTTTTGATTAGTTTTAAAATTTTATTCTATAAATAATTAAATACCCTATCTACTATAAAACTATCCCAATTATATCTAAAAAAATTAATCATATTATACACGTTTTCAATCATATTAAATATAAAATAATTTTAAACAATCATAAAAAAAAATTTATTAAAACCTTATTTCTAGATTCTTTATTAGAGAAATGGAGTTACAATTTTTCAATCATTCTAGATGCTACAAATAATGGTGAAAAGGAATAAAAGGAATTTATCACATTTGAAGTTATAAAATATAAATAAGTAAGAATTAAATAAAATTTTTTTACCTTCATACCGTACCTAAGATTGTAATTGGTTAATGAATAACAACTAAGATTCTAATTGGTTAATGAATAACAAAAGTCCGTTCAAGTCAAGCGAACAGAACAAAAAACGCAGTCCATAACTAACAGAGTTGCGAGATTTCAGACTTGCAAAAATCTCAGATTGTGAAGAAAAACTAGACGAAAAATGGCTTCTACGGAATCGAAGACGGTGCATTCGGCAGCTCTCACTTATTTTTCTATGATTTCTCTTCTCACTCTCTGTCCTCCCTTCGTTATTTTGCTGTAAGTTTCGCCGCTTTCCCCACTCGTTCAATCTTTCTTTTATATGTTTTTGTTGGATTTTGATTTCAGAAGGCGTGCATGGATCTTTAGATTACTTTCGAGTTTTGGTATTATTAAAATTTTCTCTAGGAATGGAAGAGAAATTGTTAGCTGAAGTTTAGATCTTACGAACTCTGATTTTTGCTATTATTTCTTTTGAATTAATTTTACGAGGAGTGTTGGTTAGTTCGTGGCCTGAATTTGATTTGTTCTTCTGTTGCAATTATTTACTTATTTATTTATTTGGAGACGACGGAAAAGAATAATTAATGAGAAAAGAATAATTAATGAGAAAAAAGAGAAATGCTGATTACTAGAGATATGCTGTTGTCATGTCAATTGACATGGTTGACTTTGTTGACTTCCTCTGATAGCTAAGAATAGATAATGTGGAGAAAAGAGTGCTTCTTGTTGCTGTAATTTATGTGAAATTATGTTTGTCCTGTGTAAAATATAAGAATTTTTTATTAATATTTTGTGGCAATTGGTTGCTTTGCTGGTTCAAGTTTATATACCATTAGATCTTATGCTTATCACTATCTGTTTTAGCAATGGTGTATGAGCTTTTACATTGGCTTTGAGAGGAATATGGATTGACTCGTGGCTTGATATTCCTTTTTTTTTTTTTTTTTTTCATGTTTTCATTTGGATGTCATGTTATGGATCGGGTTATTGATCCTTTTTTTTTGAATTTCTGATATATTTAGGAAATGAATAGAAAAAATATATTTAAATTTAAATCTTTTTAATAACATGGGCTACATTGTATCATTGCTGCTCTGTTTGATTTTCGAGAAATGAAGAAGAAAGCATTTTACAATGTGTTTATGTTGGACTCTGTTCTTTACTTCAAGATTCAAAGAGCACCTTAGTTTTTAAAAATTGCTGTTCGAATAAGAATAGAAATGGCAGAATTTTGTCCCAACTGTCTTATTTTAATTTTTTTTTTTTTGTCTTATTTTTGTGTTCTCTGACGGATTTAGTAAAGGAAAAGATTGAGGGAACCATTGAACAATTATTGGTTCGGCACAGATGTTGTCATGATTTTTTTATGTTAACTAGACTTGATTTGTTCATGTATTGTCTAACCTGGGTGATAAGTATCTATTCTTGTAAATTTTAGCTTAATATATTGAAGACAATATCAGAGTTAGATTTCGTTACTTTATGCAGATGGTATACAATGGTGCATGCAGATGGGTCTATTATCCAGACCTTTGATTACTTGAGGCAACATGGGCTGCAAGGATTTGTAGATATATGGCCAAGACCCACTGTTACGGCTTGGAAAATAATTGCTTGTTATGCAGCATTTGAGGCTGCCCTTCAGCTTCTTCTGCCTGGAAAAAGGGTTGAGGGCCCAATATCTCCTGCTGGGAACCGACCTGTTTACAAGGTTTCTGTTACTTGATATCTTCTTTTCCAAAATGCCTTAATATATAGTTGCTTGCTGATAATTTTGGTGGATTGTTAGGATTTAATTTCATTAATTCAAAATCGAAGAAATTTTTTCTACTTAATCATGTTGCTTGCATTTATTTTATTGCTTACATTAGCTTACTTTTTTTGTTGATTGGTGCAGGCAAATGGTATGGCAGCGTACACAGTGACACTTGTAACCTATCTAAGCCTTTGGTGGTAAAGGATTTCTCCATCAACTTCTTTTATTATGAAATTTCAAAATGCTTTAGAACTATGAATTTGATGTTGTTAGAAGGGTTGTTCTGAGTGGAAGCTTTCCGCTTGGCTGCTTGTGAGTTGCTACACAATCAATGATGTCTATATCACTTTTTTTTTTTTTAATTTATTCAGCCAATGATTTAGTAACTGTTGTAGCCTGCCTTTCCCTTACAACTGTGTGATTTACCTGCTTCTAGTTTTAGTCACCCTCATCAAATATCATCAAGTGCAATTGGTTTATACTTTTATTGTGTTTATTTTCAGGTTCGGCATATTCAATCCCACAATTGTTTATGATCATTTGGGAGAAATATTTTCAGCACTTATTTTTGGAAGCCTCATTTTTTGTGTTTTCTTATACATTAAAGTGAGGATTTAAATTTAAGCTTACTGTAATATTATTTATTCACAGATTACACTGCTTCAATTTATATCTGACCCTGATGCTTTATGTCTACAAGGGTCATTTGGCCCCATCTTCCAGTGATTCTGGTTCATGTGGGAACATGATAATTGATTTCTACTGGGTGAGTTTCTTCAGGCTCATGATGACAATCCTATGTTTATGTAATTATTTTAAATTTTCATATTACTTTAAAAGTTTGGGCAAAAGGGGTCAAATGCAACAGAGAATCGATAAGATACCTAGTGGTCTCTGAACTTATTAATTAAAGATTTACATTGGAAAAGCAATTAGAACTCTGGAAATTGGTTGGTCAGAATCAGGCTTAATTAAAGTCTCCTGGCAATTATCCAGTTTAGAATTCTGCTGCTTGCTCTGGAAAGAGGTTCCTAGGATCTATTTGAGAACTAAAAACAAGTGATTTCCAACACTTTCTGGCATTTATGTTTTCTTTAAAAAAGAACCTGGGAAAATCATATCGCATGATTACTTTCATATGGTGCTAAATGTTTGATTGGCCTTGTAAGCATTAATGGAAGTTAGGCTAAGCTTGGGTTTTTTTATCTCTACTCAAACCTTCTGATTTATGGCTTAGGTTAAAGACCTGTGCGTTGATTCCATGGAGTTTTAAACTAGAGTGTACATTTGGAAGTCTTGTAGTATAATTGTATAATTGTTCTGCAAAATTATTAATAATCTCTGGAATATGCTACCATTTTATAAAATCTGAAATATTCATGCATCTGATTGGTAGCTTTATGGCTTTTAGGTGGTGTTTTTACTCGATGCTAGGTCATTAAGTTAATACCAACTTTACAATGTTTCAACAAACATGTAACACACTAAGAAACAGCCATATATATAATCTAAGGAGTAGAAAAAGAAATGTTGTTAATATGATGAGATTTGTGCTCGACGATGAATTCTTCTTCGGCATTTATGTGTAGTCCAGGCCATGTACTGATCTAGGTTATTCCCTTGTTACAGGGTATGGAGCTATATCCTCGAATTAGTAAGAACTTTGACATCAAAGTTTTCACAAACTGCAGATTTGGGATGATGTCGTGGGCAGTTCTTGCTGTTACCTACTGTATTAAGCAGGTACAAGCTCTTAGATATTTGTTCATCCAAATGTCAAATTAACTTGTCACATAAATTCTCTTGTTCAAAAAACTAGAAGCAAAATGTGGGAAATTCTTTGGTGGTGGTGTAGAGACCTCATTTGCTAGGCTCACATACAGAGTATGGTCAAAGGTATTAGCCTAATTGTGATCCTAAACGGATTTATAAAATTCATTCTTTGTGATTTCAAGTCAAGTTAATAAATTATCTAAAATTGGCATAATGCGGCAACAACCAGACCATTTTAGCCTTCTGTGTGCCGTTCTGGTGGCGATTGGCCATGGCGGTGGTTGCTGGCGGCAGGTGTGTAGGGATGGTGCTTCGGTGGGCTGTAATTTGTCTTGATTTCAATGGTAATTTTGTCCAAAAAGTTAATTAATTGGGGTGAAATAGTAAAAGACATTATGTAAATAAATTTAAAAATAGCATTATTGTCCTAAAATTTATTAATAAGGGTAAAATTGTAACAAAAAAAGATTACCTTGGTAATCTTAGAATACTTAAGAAAATGAGGTAATCTGATTACCTCTAATATTACTAACAATAACTACTATTGGTATTTGAAGATTACCGAAATCTTTATTACTTGACAATCAAACGTGGTAATCAGTAATATAAGATGATATAACTTCAGTAATCCCGCATTACCCCCCCAACCAACACCCCCATATATCATGTTTGGTTGTTAAGTAATAAGGATTCCGGTAATCTTTCAAAACCAATAACAATTACTGTTGGTTATATAGGTGGTAAATAATGCCACAATTTTCTTAGGTATTCTAAGATTATTTGGTAATCTTAATTTTGTTACAATTTTACACCAAACTATTAAAATTTTTGGATGTAATGCCCTTGTTCTAACAAAATTTACAAAAATATTCATGGACTATTTTATCCTTATACATATATTTTTAGGACATTATTACCTTTGAACTTGAACCAAATTACCCTAGATAGATGGCCAGATCTGGCCACTACCATCGGTCGCCATTGCCTATTGATGTCACAAGAATACCACACAACCAGCTAGATTTGGTCAGTTTTGCGCCATCTAGTTGTTTCTGACTAGATTAATGGTCGAAAATGGCTAATGTGTGGATTTGCCCGTTTTCGACCAGATTTTGACTGCTGCTAACGGTGTTGCTGGTGACCGACAATGGCTTGGGTGGGTTGGGGTGTTTGTGTTAAAATTTAAAATTCTATTGTGGTTGGGTGTTTTAGCAAAATCTCAAATGTAGGGGGTTAAAAATAATAATAATAATATTAAACAAGAAGGGTAATTTAGTATCTATATAACATACCCACCAATTTACTCCAATCTAACACACATTTAATATAATATTCCCATTAATCTTCAGGTAATCACTTCCCATTAATATAATATTTTATGAACCAAAGGCACCCATAAAATTACTTGAATGCCTCTACTACACTTAGGGGCGTTTGGATCATATAATGCTTTATTATAGAGGAATGTTATATTAACGAAAGATATATCATCTTGAGAGTATTAGGAATGTTTAGAAAATGTGTTTAGTTGGTTCAATAAATTGTGAATAATATGTTTGATTGGAGGATAAATGAGTGGGTAGTTTATAATTCCTAACTTGTCCTACTTTTAAAATATTAATATAATATTATTTTTTATTGTTATTTTTGAATCATTTCTTTTAACCTCCTACATTTGAAATTTTGTTAAAACACCCCAATCATATAAAACTTTAATTTGAAGCAAAATCACCTGTACCCACCCAAGCTACTGTTGGTACCCAGCCACCACCTCCGCATTTGACGGAATGGCACATACTGACTGTATGTGGTCGACCGTGGGTTGGCAAAGCCATTTCTAGCCATGGATCACAAATCCATGGCTGTTTCATGGCCAGATCTATGCCCATTTCAGGCTAAAGATGTGGCTATGAAATGACCACAGATCTGACTATTTTCATAGCCAGATCTTGGCTAGTTTCACGTCACATCTTTGGCCGTAAAACGACCAAATCTGGTCGTTTTTGGCCGTGATCTGGAAAGGCCTTATCGGCACACGATTGACCAGATTCCATTGGTTGTCACCATTATGGCGATTGATCTGGCGAATGGCAGTGGTGAGTAACTGCCGATTATGGTCTTGGTGGCTAGGGTATTGTTAACTTTTAAACTTTTTTGTGGCTGGGTGTTTTAGCTAATTTCTCAAATGTAAGGGGCTGGGTAATTGTTATTTGGTAGACATTTGAGGGCATTGTGTCTAAAATGGTATTTAATTAAGAGCAAATAGGTATAAAAACAAATTACCTAGTTGTTTTAATCTTAGGGGTGGGAGAGAGTATCATATTATCCTCTATATTACCAACAGTAAATTCTATGAGCCTGTTTGGATGGGGATAATATTAGATAACTGGGTTATATTTTTTAAATTGAGAGATGACAATGTTTGGTTGATTTGTAAAAATATTATGGAATCTTTTATGACAAACAATGGCATTTAGGGGGGAGGACCTTGCCAATGTATCATTTTTGTGTCTCATATTAACAGTTGAGCTTGGTCCAAATTAGCCCTATATTTGTTAAGATTTACAAAACCCAATTCACTCATGCATACTTTTTTTTTCCTCACTTCTTAAATTTTCTGGATGACTTGCCCCTGTTATTGTCATTTTTACAGAAATACCATTGTACCTAGAACTAGCCACCACCGCCAGCCACCTTCAACCGCCACCGAAGGTTGCCAAAAGTCACCAGTATGGCGTACAGTCGGCCGTATATGGCCGGTCGTGTGCCAATGAGGCATTTTCTGACTATGATCCATGGTCGAAAACGGCCAACGTTTCACGACCACATCTTTAGCTAAAAATGGCCAGATATATGGCATTGCCGCTGTCACGGCCAGATCTATGACATTGTTGGCGGCCGCTGACGGTGGTGGCTGGCTGTCGGCAGTGGCTTGGGGTGGGTAGGTGTGTTTTTGTTAAGTTTAAAATGGTTTTGATTGCTATGGTGTTTTTACTAAATTGAAAAGTAGGGGTTAAAGAAATTATTCAAAAAAATAAAAAAACTATTATATTAATATTTAAAAAGGAGGGCAATTTAGTAATATTCATAACATACTCATCCATTTATCCTCCCAACCAAACATATTATTCACCAATTTATTCGAACCAACCAAACACATTTTCTAAACATTCTTAATAATCTTCAAGATATCTTTATTCCGTTAATATAATATCCCCCTATAATAAAACATTATATGATCCACATGCCCCCTATTTGCAATAAAGATTCTCATAATATTTTATTACTTACAAACCAGACACCAAATCTAGCAAAATAAACGAATATTACCCCATTATCTTGTTGCCCCCCAATCCAAACACACCCTTAAAGTCTAGCAATAAGTGATCCTTAAATGTCACTTAAATGAAAATTTTGAAACTTCCATTTTGTCTTTAAGTTTTCCAAAATAAAATTATCTTAACAAATGAGACCCCTAATAATTAGGGTGTTCGGTTCCGGTATCTTGCACTTTTGAAGGAACCGGAACTGACGGTTCCTTGAAATTTGGAACCAAACTGGAACCGACGGTTCTGGTTCCTAGGTACCTAAAACCGGAACCGACGGTTCCAGTTCCTAGGTACCCAGAACCAGAACCTTAACAACATTTCCGGTTCAATCTGGGTACCCTATAAAATTATGACCCCCCAAAAGTTTTTAAAATGGCAAAAAACCCTTAAAACTTACAAATACCCCCCCACCTGGCACTTGTTAACAAAAATAAAGGCCGAACGACTTATGCATCCCAAGGTTTGTTGAAACGACAAGTTGATACCCAAAAGGTTTTGAAACGACAAATGGATCCCTTCGTCATGTTCTGTTAGTGATTTTGGTTAGATAATAGTGAAAAGACTAAAATACCCTTGAAAGTTTAATTTTAGTTTTTTATAAATTTAAAAACTTCTAAAAACCCCTTAGGTTTGCTAATTTGACTAAACACCCATATATAAAATTTTATAAAATAACAAAAACACCCCCGCCACCCCCGCAGTGCCAGATTCCGGCCACCACCCGCTGGAACTGGCCGAATTGCGTTACGACACGACCCATCGGATCTGTGTCGTAACGCGTAGATCTTTCATTTTCCGACAAGATCCGTGGCTGATCTTGCCGGAAAAGACCAGATCTACGGCCAGATCTGGCCGTCGAGACCGGAAATTTGCTGGAAAATTGTGTTTCGACACAGACCCATCGGATCTGTGTCGTAACACGTCGATCTGGCGTTTTCCGGCCAGATCCATGGATGATCTGGCCGAAAAACGCCAATCTGGCCGTCGAGGCCGAAAAAGGCCAGACATAGATCTGGCCTTTTCCGGCCAGATCCGAGGCGGATCTGGCCGAAAAGGCCAGATCGGTGTGTTCCGACAAATCCGACGGGTCTGTGTCGTAACACAATTTTCCGGCTAGATTCCGGCGGTGGTGGCCGGAATCTGGCACTGGGGGGTGTGGGGGTGTTTTTGTTATTTTATAAAAGTTTTATATATTGGGCTGTTTAGTCAAATTAGCAAACCTAGGGGGTTTTTTAGAAGTTTTTAAATTATAAAAAACTAAAATTAAACTTTCAAGGGTATTTTATGTCTTTTCACTATTATCTAACCAAAATCACTAACAGAACATGACGGAAGGTATCCATTTGTCGTTTCAAAACCTTTTGGGTATCAACTTGTCGTTTCGAAAAATGGGTATGTATAAGTCGTTCTCCCAAAATAAAATTACAATTATATTCAAATTACAAACTCAATTACTTTGTAAAGGAGATTCTCAAAAATCAAACCAACTTACTTTAAATGTTATGAATATAAATATAAATGTATTCACATTACTTTTTTCATAAAAGTTTTTATTAACCCCCCTAATATTTAATTTTTTTTTATAGTCTCGGTTCTTGGTTCTTGGTTCTGGTTCCGGTTCTTAACTATAGGAACCGGAATCGCATAGTAACGGTTCCAAAATTTTGGAACCAGAACCTACCCATTGACGATTGGTTCTGGGTAGGAATCAGAACCAAACCTAGGGTATCTTCCGGTTCTTTTGAACACCCCCTACTACTAATATACTAAAACTTAG